CAGGTATATACTGACGAACGCGCACTTAGATGCCCATAAAACGCTTAAACGGGACGAAAATGTGCTGCTCTCCAGGCCGGATAAAGGAGCAAGGATTGTCCTTATGGATAAATCTGACTAAATCGCTAAGATGAATGCCATCCTTAACGATCATTCAAAATTCAAAATTTCGGATGATGGAGACAGAGAAAGACAAAACGGTCTGTATAGAAAAGACAGTCACAAAGCCACTACGCTGCCTAAAGCAAGAGAATGCGATTGACTCAGTGGTTTTCGAGTACACGCGTCTCTTCGGGACAGTGATTTCACGTATTTATGGCTTACCGAAAGTACATAAAGAAGGACTTCCATTGAGGCCAATATTAGACGTGTGTGATTCTCCATATCACTCAGTAGCGAAATGGCTCGCTAAGCTTCTAGAACCGATCGGAAAAGTCCTAGCCAAACACAGCCTCAGAGATACATTCAGCTTTGTAGACTCCATAAGCCATATGCAGTTAACCGGAAGGAAAATGTTTTCTCTGGATGTAGTGTCGCTTTTCACTAATGTTCCGTTGGAGGAGACAATAGACTACCTTTGCGACGCTGTTCGATTGCACCATGTGGATGTCGGCCTCTCGAACGAGCGACTTAAACAGTTGCTTCCGATGTGTACCAGGAACGTACAATTCCTGTTCGACGGGAAGATCTACAGACAGAAGGACGGAGTTGCCATGTTGCTCTCCGTTAGGACCATTGCTAGCAGACGTATTTATGAGTGCATTAGAGAACAAATATCTAAACGAAGTTATCGACAACTTAGTCTACTACGGACGGTATGTGGACAATATATTCTACATCGCAGATAGTCATTTATGCACGGATGAATTAGTGAGGCAATTTAACGCAGCCCACTCAAACATAAAATTCACCCTTGAATCTGAGTTCAACAATTCAATGTCGTACTTAGATGTTCAGCTTAGCCGAAGCTCTGACGGGTCGGTCCAGCGCAGTGTCCATAGAAGGACAACGTGGAATGGGCGATATATTCACTTTGCCAGCTTCGTCCCGCTCAGCCAGAAACGGAAGCTTGTTCGGTGTCTAACCGAGCGAGCAAGAAGAATATGTAGCGAGGACATGCTTTCGGACGAGCTAAACTTTGTACGAAGCCTATTCGATAGAAATGGCTATCCTGAGAGGTTCGTTCGGAGAAACATGGAGATACGAGAAGCGAAAACAAAAGTGGGTTCAGCAGGAAAGAAACCAATCTACTTATCGTTACCGTTCAAGGGGATGTGATGGCTGAATCGACGTCTAGAAGGATTTCTGACGCCATCGGTTAAACGTACTATGCAGCAAGCATACGGCTAAGCTTCTACTCAGTGCCGCGCCTGAATCAACAACTTAAGGAGAGAATTCCACGGTCTAGTAATTCATTCTGTGTATACTCTTGCTCTTGCTCGTGTCGAGCAAGATATATCGGAAGAACTACCAAGAGACTGTCCGAGAGAGCCAGGGAACACTGTCCGGCTTGGCTGTATAGCGGCGTGACTAGATCAGTGGCAAGCGCAGTGTGTGCACACCTGATCGACTCGAGCCATCAAGTCAGAGCGCATGAGGCGTTCCAGCCCATCTATCGTGCACCCAGATGTCACACAAGAGCGGTTAGATGTCGTCTACTGGCAACGGCCGAGGCGATAGCCATCAGGCTTCATGACCCTGACCTATGTGCACACAAGAAATTTGTCCACGCACCAACTCTACCCTGGGCCCATGTAACACGGACACATAGTGTGGACAACGCCACACACACACAAACAAACTGTTGATCGCCGTGTGGCCAATCGCCTAGCTTGCTCACTCAGACCATCTGGGTTTTGAACCTGTACTCTAAACTGATGTTTAAGTTCATGTCATACCTTTGTGGTGCATTAGCCTGATGAGGAACCACCAAAAACGAGCTTGTTCGCTAAGAATTTTTCTGATTGCCCTCTTGGCATATAGTCGACCACGGCGCCAAGGCATCAGCTTAGGCGGTAAACGAAGACTTTCAGAATGCCCTGCAGTTCACTTCATTGTATGTGCAACCTGTTTCCCTCCAACCAACGTTCTTTTCTATCCTATGTGACACTTCCACAGGTTGTCCCGGACCCCACGTACACACATTATTCAACTGCAGCCTTCGTCACGCTTCACTTGATGTCTCATCCTGCAATTCGGAAATCTTCAAAACTATTCACAAAGCGTTTCGTTGGCCATGTGTACAAAGATGTATGTAAAACGTCTCAAGCTTGGCTTCACTGCCAGTACCCCAAGCTACATCGACACAGCCGTAGTCCCCTTGGCTCATTCCCTGCTCAGGATTTGCGCTTTTCACGCGTACACATAAACCAAGTAGGACCATGGCGTCATTTTTTTCGGATTTTTTTACACACTGACATGTGTCTACCACTTCATCTGATGACCAGAAGCGACTAGTGTAAAAGGATGTACTGCCGAGTCTGTAGTCCGTGCCATTTTGAATCGTTGAATATCCCAGTACAGATATCCATCCGCCATCACAAGTGACCGTGGAACGTCTTTCGTACCTTCTTAATTAGCTACGATATAAAACAACTTAGACTGCCGCCGTATTCACTCGACAGCATATCACCCAGCGGCGAATGGCCTAGTCCAACGTTTTCATCGACAACTTAAGTCTTCTCTCTTTGCCACATCCTAGCTTAACTGGACTGAAAAACTTTCGCTAGTACTTCTACGGATTCACAGCAGCTTCAAAACGCACCTGCGCTGTGCGCCAGCAAATTTGTCTAAGAAAAATCGCTTGAGCTGTGAAGCGTATTCATTTCGCCCTCCTCTCCGTTGTGTATGCCACCGGAAAAGTTCGCAGCCACCCTTTTGCAACAGATGCGTTCCTTGCGTCCGACCCCTCCTTGTGCACAGACCCGAGATGTTCAAGCGCATAGAGGAATTGCTACTCACAAGCAAGTTTTCGTCAAAACGGACGCAATTCGTTGCCATTGTTAGTCTCATTACACCGTCCGCAATCAGAAATCTCTAAGGAACTACTAAACATTCCAACTTAGACCAGTATAGTCATCGAACAACGGTGTCCGTCGATCGCCTCGGTTGTATTCTTTGAAGAACCGCCTCAAATGTCCCCTAGTACAGCCGCATAAATAAACTCACCTGCCGCTACTTCTTCCGCATCCCAGCCAAGATCTCCCCGTTTATCTTTATCCTGCGCTGACCCAACCCCATGAAAATAATCAACACGGTGGACAAGTCAAATGTCCGGTCTGCATTTCAGCCTTTGTTAATCTTTGCTGTTTTCTTTGGCATGCATATTTACCATCTTTTACAGTAATTGTGTTTTGTGTTCACAAACGTTTTACAAAACCACAAAGAAACCCAAAGCCTGTTTTTGTTTTTTATACTTGCCTCGTTATCAAAACATCATGTCCTAGCGTCCCCGAGTTTTATACTCCAGTACTCAAGTTCCACGATAAACCGCCGTATGTCTTGTCCCAACTGCCCAAATCCCCGGGCCCTAGCATCCTGGCTCCAAGTGATTACCACTCCTATACCGGTGTTCAAATGGCTAGCACGGTCCACTAGCTCCGGAAGACGGCTCCGAAAAACGGCATACGGACTTTTTCGTGGGACGACGATCATCATCGCCGTGGACTGGAGTATGATAAGAGGAGTGAAACCACCCAGGAGCACCATTAGCTCTGCAGCTGGGGAAATGTCTTTCCAGTCCTTTATTGAACTATTCAGTCTTTTAGCAGTCTTTTGAGAATGCACCGACGGCCCGCTGACGATGCACTCCTGTCCAAACTCGGATAATAAATAACAAAGAAGCCTGGATCCAACAAAGTCCATGAGGCTTTCTATCAGCTTGTGCTCACTACAATTGCTACCCTACTTCCCCATCCTCACTTTGACTCCCTATATTACATCTTTATCGAATGGTTCTTTCATTAAACCTTCTAGGAGGAGACCATTGTGGGAAACGTGAAACATTTAGGTCTTCAGTATTTTGTGGCATTAGATTTTATTCTTGCTTGTATCTTCCAATCGCCGATTACTTTTACTGACGGCATATCCGATTCACTTTTCGATTTCCCTGTTAGTCATGCACTACCTTGCTCTGTGCCCTTACTAATGTGCTGCAATTCATTACAGCTGGGTGCATTATATTTTGGGTCCGGTAACGTTCTCGTTACTGAATACTTAACGTTTGTATTGGTTCGTATTGTTGCGCATCGCTCAATAACTCGCACTCAGTGGAAAGGGCGATAAACCCACAAAGTGGGGATTTATTTTGTTCGGATTCCGATACTAACTATCTATATTTTCCATTGTCGGTCGATCCGCAGCGATCGATATAGCCGGATGGATCTTCATATTACTACAGCTCCGAAACATTTAGCCAGTAGAGCATACATATATGGCTCAGCAATTATACGCACACTGACACAAATATTAATTCACTTGCGTCGAATTAATCGTGGGCTGGGTCCAAGAAGCACAACGTGTGCGTTATGCAACCTTTTGTTGAGCGCGTGTCACATTAAGTAATTCATCGAGTCGTCCTAAACGTGGAAAACGTGGGCCTGACAAATGAGATATTCCTGAGCCCCAAGACGCACCTCTCCCTCAGTGAAATTCAAATCTGGTTTTCCAGAACTCCAATGATTTCTCTCTTACATATTTCTAAAGTATTTCTAAAGTACCACTGCTTCCGCATCAATTTAGTTAAATAAAGTCAATCCAGTGAGTTTTGCATTCCAGTTGTGCGGAAAATAAAAACATTTGTCTCGTTTACACAATGTAACACCTAGGCATTAGTGTCGCATTAATAGGTTTTGTGATTTGTAGGTGAACTGGTCAAATAACAGGGAAGAAGACCCGATTGTCCCAAAAGTGCAGCACAAGTCCAAAGCATGGGCAATTTAAAGAGAACTCAGCACCAGTGCACAAACGACAACTGGTTGGTAAACATTAAATCATGGCGAGTTGTTTATTTGGAATATAGCATCCAACGGTGGAATATTATGACATAACACATGTGCAGAAAGCGGTGTTTGTTAGTACAAATAAATTGATTTTATCCCTAGGACAACAGATATTTAAATGGCTAGTCAAACTAAGGTGAATAACTGAGCAGTGTTGATAGATTGTTGCCGGTAGTATTTCGCTTCTGGCAATGTGTGTCCACACACGCGCTCCTCACCACAGTGTCAGAAAACGAATGGAAGTGAAGAGAATACAGAGCGCGACTGGAGATCTGAAGATTGCCGCTGCGGTCTTCTCCGATGCTTTCGAACGGCAGTCTGCTTTCCTGCCCTTTTTGTAAGGTCTTACGCCTGCGTAGTTGCCACTAGATGAGAAAGAAGAAGATGGAATCTTGCATTCATGTATGATAAGTGGTTTTACTTCTTATCCTCAACACCTTTTAGTAAAGTTGCAAAGGCTCTTGTTTTAACTCAACCCCTCTCTTTCCCGATAAATTCTGCTGTGATAACACTGCAAGTCTATTGTGGTGCATTTCCACCCACGCTGGAATGGTGGAGATCATACTGGCTTGGTCATTAGTCTTTAAGTCTATTTAGTCGATAACTACACTGCTGCTTGTAGTGGCTGTCTACTGGTGAAATCAAGCACATCTCTTGGAGTGTAGCGTTTTCTGCTCCGAACCAAACGATGTTGGTTAAACCACACTGAACGATGAGCAATGATTTATCGTTGGTTAAAGGCACTTGCTTAGCACTTCCCGCAGGATGGCTGGCGTGAAAACTGCGAACTCATCTATTTAGATGTCCACTGAGCTAAATACATGGCTGAATAACAACAGTGAAAATAAGCTTTGAACTCAGGCATGCAAACTAACATGGGGAGCAGTAATAGTTAAGGTATTCTGTAAGAGAAATAAAAATAAGCACGCTCAATTATGTAGCGTTTCTTTGGATCCATTCGATACGCAAACGTAGTATGAGGGCATTAGTAAGATACTCCACGGCTGTATATTTAGTTTAGGTAACGAAGTGTCTGGAGCTAAGAACAGCATCCAACCGTTCTTTGAAGACACATGAAGGTAGAAGAGGAGGCACCACTGTTTGGGAGAGAGTAACAATTATATAAAGTCCCGAAACTCATTTTTTCGGCATTCTTGACGGCTGTGCTGTTCATTCCGTATTGGACAATAAGTCCGAAGGTGGTGTTGAGGCTGCTTCAGTCAATGACAGCGCACATGATAGGAGCTAGTAACTATTTTGTATTCCAATGTGAGATCACAACGTAGCCCTCGGTAGAGTCCGTCGAAAACTATTAATTTAGATGGCAAAAGTGATTGCGCAGATGTTTCATATACTTTGTTGTCTTGCATTGTGTTTAGCACTTTCAGGTCGCGCTTCATCCAACGTATTGCTAAGCTTGGATGAGGTATTCAAGATGAGGACGCATGTACGATTTGCGCAGCATATGGAAAACAGATGAGTCAAAAGTCACAAATGCTCTCCGCAGCAAGCCGACATGCTGGTTTGCTCTATTCGCAGCTGCCTCTGCCCAGACTGACGAATGCGCCACGAGAGATCAATGGAATTTTGGCATCGTAGCTATGGTACAGCAGCCAGGCGGTAATGGATGATGTTATAGCATACGTACGGGCGGTTTTTTAATCAATTGATAAGTGGCGTGATAAGGAGTAGCGTAGCGTTGTGGTAGCGCGCGGGATTGTGACCCGGCGGCATGGTTCGGAGCCTGGGTACGTCGAGTTTTGGACTCGCTACATCATCATCATCATCATTATACACGTTAGCTGGAGGTGGAAAACACCTCAGCTTTTGTGCCGCAATACAAAAGACAAGAAAACAAAGAGTGGCACGCCCGCTGAGTCCCCAGTAACGGATGGACATCGTTCCGGAGAGCTAACAGCTGGATGCCGTAAAAGAGAGTCACATTATGCCTAACAACTGAGATCGTGATTGGAGGGGGATGCTAAACAGGAGGGGGATGGATAAAGGAACTCACAACACAAACGCCATTGGGGCCGGCTCCTAGCCATATCAGCAAGTGTGTCCAACCAAACGTGTTCACCATCCTTAGGACCCCAGCCAGGCAGTCGGGATGCACCAACCGACGCCAACTTCGAAGTGAGGGTTTTCATTTCTCTCGACCAAGTCATCACTTGGCCTCCACTCCTCCTCTTCCAACTGCACCCACAACGCGCAAACAATGCACGTCGCGGGAGTCGGTGTGCTGGCATGCGCAACACGTGGCCCAGCCATCGGAGCCTGGTGCGTGATATACTGGTGCTGAGCGGTTCATTCGCTCTTCCTGCACCAAATACGCGACGTCGAACACGCTCATTGCTCACGCGGTGTTCCCACCAGACATGAGCTAAGCTGCGAAGGCAGCGATGATCGAATGTGACAAGCGTCTTCATGTCTGTCGACCTGATGGGCCAAGTTTCACAGCCATATAGGAGAGTTGAACTTATAGCTGCGTTGTAAACTCTGCCCATCAGGGAGAGAGTAGTGTCGCGTCTGCGCCACAGGTGGCGGAGATTGGCAAAAGTACCTCGAGCTTTTGCTATACGGTTCGTAACCTCATCTTCAATCCCACGGGTGCTAATATAGCTGCCCAGGTACTTAAATTCCTGAGCGACTTCTAGCAGATCACCACCAAGCCTTAGCGCAGGGTTGGGTCCCTGCCAATCTTGGAGAAGTACTTTGCATTTCGATGGAGCGAAGCATGGCCCAAAACGATTGACAGTCAGTGCTAATCGATCCAGTGCTGTTTGGCATGTATGGGAGCTGTCACAGATTGGGGCAATATCGTCCGCATACTCCAAGTCAAGAAGTCGCTCACCAGGAAATGGCTCCACACCTTCTAGGTCGTGTCCAGCGAACTTGGACTCACTACGGTTTCACAAAAACTAGACTTGGTACGATACAAGGAAGCTTGCAATGGTTCCTGCGCCAGGATAACATGCAAAAGGTAAAACTCTAAATTGTTCTACGCTTGTATCTCTACAGGAAAGATTCTCCGAATTTCGAAGGCATTCTTGCGCCATGTCCTAGGTTAAGATGGAAACCAAGTTTATATATCTTACAGCCTATATCTATGTGTTAAGTATAAAATTCTTTCCCAATACACTTATACTGCCGCATGCGTTTTCCATTTACCGTGCTTTCCAAACAATTATTCCATATATGGGGCACTTGGTCTGCTGCCACACTCATACTTTCAGAAGCACTAAGTACGCTTGCTCTCACATCGTTCATTATGCGAACACCTGAGACTTGAATTTCTAGGAATAGTTACATACGCAGCTTCATAATTAACCCCTCGTTATTCATTATATATTAAATTTTGCATTTCTTCTGATTCATGAAATAACTATTTAACACTGCATTTTTCTGCTTTTTGGCGTACCTATAGGAACAGTCTTAAGATTACAGTATTAAAAGTAGCCTTACTAAGCGTATATCTAGAGAACACAGATGTCGGCTGTATGGACAGACAACAGCCCGTACTTAAAATCCCGCCAGTTGCGCACTCGATGGTCCCGCCTCTGATTGTTTGAAAAGTTAAGGTTATTTAAATGAGCACGCCAAGGTTACGTATCTGGGACGTTTTTTGCATTACTTGTGACCCAAGCCGGTAGAGGTGAATTACTCTACCCGAGCGGTAGATCAGAGAACAGCGGGCATTCAAAGTTAAATTGTTCTACCACGGATTTCCACTTAGTGGAAAAGCATATGAGCAATTTTATGCCGTAAGTGACCACTAAACCTCCCATTAAACCACACAAACCGAAAGATGCGGGACATTAAGTGCTTATCCCTTGTGAGCCTCCATAGTTTAGAAAGGCCACGTACGAAATGGGGCAGATTGCAGCTTGCACCAAAGGAAGGAAAAGGCAGACAAATAAATCCAAGCAATGTTGCGGTAACGCGTGCCTTGGTGTTCCATCCTAACCTAGAATACTGTGCCAAAATGACATTGGAATACAAAGAGGCCTTCCTGCAAATGTACAACAGTATAAACATTTTAAACGCTTTCCATTTTGTATGTTATCCTTGTGATGACCAATGCGCAAGGACGACATTCAATCATCTCAAGCTTTTCTGTATAGTTCCAGACGTAGTGTCGCCGAAGCGAGTACGATAGCCTGCGCACCCAGGATTCAAACCCCTGCCGCAAGGCTGACAATCCGGAACGCTACCACTAGGCTATACTCGGGATATGCTGGCCGTTTATATGTTAGCCGAAAAATCGTTCATTAAAGCAACGTCAAACCTAAGATTGCAAAAATCAAAGTTCCCCACACCTAAAGATTTTATAGGTTAAGGGATCTGTAAAGCACGATTTCAACATTTATTTCGCCGGTTTTTTAATAATTGGGTCGCTACAGGCAATACCAGAATTGTTCACTACCCACTCAATTCTATGCACGTTATCATGCCTGTCGCGTGGCTGAACAGCCTAACATTTGTCTACATTAAATGGGAGGTTATTTTGAAATAACCAGGTCAAAATCGTGTTGAGGTCGCGCTGGAGAACCTCGAGTTCGTGCGGTTCCCTGACCATTCGCAATACCTTGATATCATCAGGGAACTATAGGAAAGCAGAAGTAACTACTCTCGTTACATCATTTATGAAAAGCAAGGATATATGAGACCTAAGCATCGAGCCTTTATGTACACCGCACACAGCCTCACTTGCGTCAGACAGGGAGGTGTTTACTCTAACTTCCAACTGATGTTCGTAGTGGAAATTACCTGTCCAACGGCGCAGTGGATTCCCAATGCCGTAGATGGGATTTTGTTCATCTCCAAACAGCAATGAGAGCAAACGGTCGATGGTTCTGCAAGATTACTGATTCTGTCTGAAGAACCCTCTGCCGAATGTTATCGACACTAAGTGGGCTGTGAGCATGCATGATGAGCAACGTCTTTAACACAGGTTTTACAGTAGAACTAAAAAAGAGTATAGTTGACGGTATAGCAGAGCCACGCCTTCTGAGCAAACCCGCCTCCAGTACTTATTACAAGGCCTGCAGTTAGGTGATAAGAAGCTCTCCAGACTGTTAAGGAAAGTATGTCGGATGCACGGCTCATTTTGTATGTATGGATCATTACTGAGCGAACTCTGGTTACAGCGTTTACCAGAAACAGCGCAAGGCATAATTACTGCAATCGCCCAGTGAGGATAACCACGTATCTGACTCAGTTGTAGGTCGTTTTCACCAGCAGATCAACTGCTTCAACCTTGACACAATCACCATGTAACTATGGTGAGATACCTCACATTTGCTGCTCGCAACCAAGGCCATCAGCCACAACCTCACAAAAGCTAACAAATGTATTAACATAG